CAAAATTAGCTACTCCTGCACTGATAATATCTACCAAATTATTAATTCTCATAACATCTTAAGTAAATTTCATGGAGAAAAAACTAAATCTAACATGGAAACCCCCTGTAATTGTAGAATTAAGGAAAACTACTCAGTAGAGGGCAAGTGCAGATCCACTAGGGTAGTATAACAGGCAACCATTACTCCTAAAGAAAATATGACAAACCATAATATTTACATTGGCATTTCTGCAGGAGAATTTAAAAAGAGAATCAATACACATAGACATTCATTCACCAATTCAAAATTAAAACACCAAAGAGCCATTTCGCAAAGATTTTGGGAATTGAAGGAAAAGGGTCTGGATCCTCAAATAAATTGGAAAATTCTAGGTTTCGCGAACACCCCAACAGTTTTGCCAGCTATATTTAAAAGAAAAAAATCAGGATAATAAAATATAAAGATCAATGTAAACTACTAAATCAATGGAGAGCACTAATCATGAAATGTAGACATAGGAACCGATTCAAAATTACATAAGAATACATATGTATATATGTGGGGGTGTATGTGTGCATATTGCGGCATATATTTATGTAAATGTACATATGTATGTATAAAGATATGTACGTATATAAGTGTGTTGGACAGCATGATTTATTCCATTGGGTGCTCTGGTATTACTGACAATCTATAAATCTATTATTCAAGTAATTTACATTAATCTTAATGGATTTAAGTTTAAATCTCCCATCGCTTATTAATAATATTGCCCCGTTGTAGTATAAAAACTATTTACTGTGAATCACAGGAAAACGCACTTGGGACTTGTATAAGAAACACCACATAGTAGGAACCAATATTTAGCTACAAACAATGAAAGGCTTGGGCCATAAATAAACTCGAACCCTAGGTCGCTTCCCCAGAATAAGATACCATATGCCCTCTACCGGTTGCTAACACAAACTCCTTCTCATTATCAAGGTGTCTGACATTGAAAATAAATTTAAAACAATGTTCTGAGACACTTAGGGGTTTATGATAGCTGTGTACAAGCTGGCTTGAAATAGACTATCCCCATGTTAAGATAATTGTTTTTTTGCTGTAAAAATAAGAATTCAATTAGCAACTATAACTTAAGCAATTTGCAGTGCAGTACCTATTGTAACAACTTGTTATTAACTGTTAAAACAATGAATCTATTTTTATTTTTTTAATTAAATTTATTAAATTGGAAGTTGAAATTTGAAGTTTCTTTGTAATTGATTAATTAAAATAGTACCACATTGCTTATCAACAATTTGAAAATCTGTACTTTCAAGCCTTTTTTTAGCTAGAATAAGGTTTTAATGTTTATTAAAGTTATGTGTGAAAGGAAATTGTGAAATTTCGCCAAATAAGTCATAATAGACTAGTTGTAAATAAAGTGGTTGGTTGAAAAGAAAAAAAAACAAAATTTCAAATATTAGCCTTAAATTCATAGTAAGCTAATGGCGATGAAATAATTTTTAAGCCACTGAAATTTGGTTGATAGTGCTTGAATAAAAAAAACAAAAGCTGACTCTGAAACATTGCTCAGTGAGCAATAGCCAACATGAAACTTCACAAACCACTTTTGGGACATTTAATAATTTGCAGTGCCCTCTCCATTAAATACACAGATTGGTTTTGCATCTGAGTCACAATTTTACTTCTTTTGAAAAAATGGGAAAGCATAATTTGCCCAAATTGTTGCTTATTTTCTTCCATTTCCAAAAAATAATACCAAATTTGGCAAATATAAAAATATTTGCCAAATATTTGTATGTAGATATGCTAGCTATCACAATACAATCGAAATGATCTTTTTGAATGAAATTAGTTAAAAATGGAAAAAATAAAAATAAATTACTTCCCTTAGTGGCATTGGGCTGGGAGAAGAGAGAGGTAAATATCACATTATTGGCTGTTTTAATTTGCATTAACCAATCAGATGTGATAAAAACTGTTTTTTTTTTCATTCCCCCTCTCTATTTTGCTACTTTCTGCCATCTAAGCAAGAAAGGCTAATGACAGCAGCTGTGACAAAAGACAAAAGCCTCAGTGTGTGCAGTCAAATGTGACAAGCAGCAGTTATCAGCAGGCAGGTTAGGTTTAAGGCTCCAAGTTCTCCACAGAGAATTGTCCCAATGGAAAATAGTGGATTAAAGTATTGGTTCATGAGTTTGGTGACATAGTAATTGTGAGTTCAATTCCTGGACTGGGAAGTATGTACTTGTATTCAGGGTGAGCAATAACTGAACAGTACTAAATTAAGGACTAGATGAGATATCCCTAGACATGGGCAGTAGGATGAGAACAGTAGGTTAAAAGGTTCAGTTTGGAATTCCTTGTAGGTTACCCAGATCGACATACACCTGATGAAAAATAGAGGGCATAATGGTCAAAATGTGATAACGATGATGAAGACAATAGTCCACATGTAAATAATAATAATTCTGCATCCCAGAAATTATTTTATACTTTTGAAGTTCCTCCTGCCTCTGTTATTTTGTATTTCTTTCTGTGTTTTACCATTTTGGTATTACTGACCTATAGTGGTTGATATGCCAGTTAAATAACTAACCAACCAACAATTTTTTTTTTTTTCATTATTAACCAGACTACTTTTAATATATTTTTTGTCCTTCTGTTACTGAGATGGATTCTCTATTTTTATGAAGCCATTTTTGTTATTTATTTGTACTTGTGCGGCAAAATCAGTGGAGATGGCAACAAGTGAATTTGTTGCAACTAACAAACATGTCATTGTATTAAGAAGTTAGAGCTTTGTTTACTGGTCATTTTGTTATGGTTAAAAGATTCCTTTGAATAAGAGGAAGTCAACCCTAATTATCTCTGGTCGTATTAGTTTCTTTTTTTAAAATCCTTACAAGATTCTTTTAATGATATCTTACAGAAAAAAACAGAACATATTTTCTAAATCAATGAATACTTTTTTTTTGTTTTTTTTGCTTTGATTTACTGGCAAAGTTGGACTTTCATGCCTGCAGAAAACATGGTGTCTCAAAAGGACTGTTTTTCCCTTGACTCTGATATTGTTCAACTATCTTCACTCCTCGGCAATGTTCATTGTTTAAAAAAGCAATGATTAGAATTATAATAAAACCTAAATAGTCCTTTTGAAACACAGTTTTTCTTTTGTTTTATTTTGGAGAATGAAGATCTGAGTTTGCTGATTTACCATTGTTTGCTTTTGTGGTCAAATAATATTGATACAGAATTGAGATAAAAAAAAACAGTAAAATTCACTCAAAAGCATATTCTATCTCCCCCATCATATCAGTTTGGTAATTTACCAATTAAAATGTCAATGTGACACTTGATGAAAGGTTGAAAAAAAGAATTAATCAGCATGTTCCAGCCAAGTTGCACAATTGCATATAGGCCTTAGTATGACTAGTTCAACAATAGTTGAACATTTATTAGACAACCACCAATGTGTCTGGTCTTATAACTCAGTACCGAGTAAGGCTAACTTGAAATTTCATTTGAATATGTTGGAATCTATTTATATTAAGTCTTCCCTGCCATCCCCCTGTAAGTAAGATGACTGACTGGTTTTTAGGCCTAAATGTAATTAGCCTTTAATTGTTATATAATATCAGGTCTTTGGTGTTTAGTTGCTGTGCACATTTTTTAACCTCGATTGTGCTTTGATTAGACAAGACTGATAAGCCAGTTAACCTGTGTTTTTTGCTTATGTTTTGTATTTCAGTATAACATCTTTTCAACAATGTAAGTCCCTCCCCCCACCTTTTTGTTATTTATTCTCTTGTTGTTTTGTAGGTTTTTATTACTATTATTAAATAGTAAGATAGAGTAACACCCCATGATAATATTAAGAGTCTCCTTTCTGCCTTCCATCAGCATGTCTGATGCTAACCTCCAGGAGAGTGACTTGTTGCACTTTCTCTGACTAATGTTTTCCACTGACATGAAGTGGAAAGATTAAATTGAATCAATTGCTAGGTCTATTGCTAGGAAAGTTGGTTCACTATGTTGTGCTAGACAATTTTTCTCTCTAGAATCTATTTTAGAAGTTTACAAGTCTACCATTAAACCTATGCTTTGAATATTGCTGTCACATATTGTCTGATGCTCCTGCTATACATCCTTGATAAAATTCAAAGAATCTGCAATGTTATTGGTCCTGACATGTCATTTCAACTTCAGTTATTTTCCCATCTCCGTAATGTAGCTTCCCTGTCCTTTTCTATAAATTCTTTCATGATAATTGCTCTGATGAACTCTACTCTAAAAAATAATGTAAATATTCATTGGGGTTTCATTTATAAATATCATTTTTTATCCCTCCCCCCAAATTGTATATATGAGAACTAGTTAGGTCTACATAGAGATTTTGAAGTGTTGTAGTAAGAATGGTAAGTAAGAATGTGTTATTTTGGTGTAAGGAATACTGTGGTATGTTAAGTTCAGTAATTATGGCGAGCTAAGTTTAATAAGATAGAATGAGACCAGCCTTCCCCTACCCCCCGCTTTTGGCCTTGTGCCACATTTTTGTATTATTTATGATAAATATTACTTTCCTCTATGGTAGACTTCATGAATTTAAGCGCATACTAGATTGGTGGCAAGGTCTCTTAGTTTTACAGTCAAAATGGCTAGATGTAAACGCAAGTTCTATGCTAACAGTTTTTTCTATTGCACTTCTTGCTTGTGGAACTCTTTTCTGGCTTATTGCTGCCCAGTCAACTTTGATCTTCAAAAATTTAAATGCAATGTCAATTGTTGTCTTAATTCTTGTTCTTTTATTATCTTCTCTCCTTAATAGTATTTCTTTATATCATGCTCTCTAACACTCAGTAACCTCTCTGTGTCTTAGTGACTTTGTTGCCTTGCTTAGGGTGAAATGATTAAAAACAAATTTATTGTGTTGTGTCACTTCATGCCATGGATTTACGGGTATGATGAAATGGACAGTTTTATATCATGTTTAATTGATTCTTATTTTGTAGGGAATTTCTTACTGGTTTTCGGAAACGCAAGAAAGAGCGGCAAAGGAAAGCAAAGCAAAAGCTGGAAGAAAAACTAAAAGAAGAACGACGAGAAATTCGAAAAGAGGTTTGTTGCAGAAGCAAAAATTATTCTGAGAATTAGACAAATGCATTTCAGTCATCAATAGACGAATGTTTTTTATGGTGCTTTTCTTCTCACAATCTGATAATTGACATTCTGTATCTGTGTTTTATTTTTTAATTTATTTATTTTTTTTCAAAAATAAAATATACATTTCTGAAACTTTATTTGTGAAGGATTAGCAGATTTAAAGTTTAATTAATCTGATTTGAAACAAATCTTAGTTTAAAATATCTCAGAAAAGAATTTTTTAATATGGCAGTTAGTGTTTTTATGAGGTGTTGACAGCCTGATGTTTGGAAAATTTGACTAATTTTTCCTACTAGGGATTTATCTGTAAAATTTACTTGACAAATATAACATAAACGCCTTTTTAATATAATTTTAAAACTATCCAGTAATCTTAAAAATTTATGAAAATATTCTATGTGATCTAATGTTTTATTGAATTTTAGATAATTTGGTTTTAAATTTACTATAATTTCTGCTCTTATTTTCTGATAATGTCATGTATGGATGAATGTATATATCAGCATGTTTATAAACACAAAAAATTCAAAATACCTTTTAAAATACTAGGGATCAATGAATTATAATAAGCTTTTTCATTTATGATTAGTAAATATAGTTTTTATTTAATAACAATATGACCTAATGGGTATAAATTAATACAAAATTTTAAAAGATTTAAAATTTTATAGGTTATTCTAATTAAATTTAAAAAAAATTAAAACAATTCTTTAATTCCCTTGGGAGTTACTTATTTTATTTATATATATATATATATATATATATATATATATATATTGAGAGAGACCACATAATCTGGAGTGATTGAGTGGGAACAAGGCCAGTATGCTCAAACCCTCGGTCACAATGACTTATGGTTTCATGCTAGCTGTTACAACATGTATATAATGTGTGTGTAATCTCTAAAGAATTAATAGATTTATTTTTAATCCCACATTTTTATTATTTCAAACTTCATTAAAGTGGACACTTTGTATTAAGAATAGACACACCATTTTCATTTATTAAACAGTATGTATTACGTCTATTGCATTTGAGAAATCATAGTAAGGAAAATGTGTTCTCCCATAGGGATTGAACCTGCATCTCCCTTTTTAGGGGAAACCTCCATTTGGTTTGGTGTACTTTACTATTCGGTCACAAAGACCATCACAATTAAGCAAGGCTCTATTTTTCATTTTTAGAGAAAGCACATCCACTTCACTCAGATTATTTTTCTTTAAATGGAAAATGTACAGAAATAATTTTTTTCCGTCCCATGCCCTATTTGGCAACAAGGATGAGATCAACTAATGTTGTGGAGTGATTTCACAGTGGATGCTTGTATTTGTACTAAGTCGGTCCTAAAATAGGTTCGACGTACAAAACGTTAGGAACTTGATATAATAGGTATAACGCACAGTAATCTAGTTGTGGTCGCTGATACTTTAGTATTCGACTAACTGTTGTCCGACATCGACTGATTCACCGACCGACTGACTGACCCCTCGTTACTCTTACTACTCCTACTTATTATAGGTGGGAGAGTCTATTAACTATAGAATAGGTGTATTCCACCATAACAGAATTCTTGCTGAAAATATTAAGATAGATTCTGAATTTTGTTATATTTTAGAAAAGGGAAATGTTTCGGACTATGATGCAGAATTACAAGGTCGCTCCAGAGATTAAACACCTGGTTGACCCCAAAGAATTCAATATAGACCAACACACTGTCACAGTGACTGATGTGTCCGAGGTTGATATCACAGGTCAAGATGGCTTGCGATTGGGTGTAAACAAGGTAAGAATCTCTTTATCTTATAATACTTTTTGTTCCCCATTAGTTTCTTTATTAGTGCATTCTGTCTTGGTGGCTTTGTTGCCTTGCTTGTGGTGAAATGATTGCAAAAAAGTATATATATAAATTTATTTATTTATTTTTTTAACCAGGGTTCAGTTGTGAACAAGCATGATGAAGGAAAATCTGAGGAAGCTGAGAGCGAAACTGAAGCTGACATAAAGTGTAAAAAATATCATGAAGAAAAACTTCGCCGCAGGTGAGTCCCTTTGACCATATTCTGTGGGTGCAATTGTAGTAAAAGAATCCCGCAGATGCAATCACTTACCCACCTTTCCCTCTGCACAAATATGATATTCAGGGGAACTGTTTTCCCCAGTCTGCACTTCCTGCAAGTGCCTGAAGACCTATATTAAAAATAGCCATGTGCCGCATACTGCCTAAAAGAGAAGGTGTATAAACATTGGATCTTGATTCTTGGCTGTTTGTAAATTCAGTCCTTAGTTTAGTTAGTCAAATGTGCAATAGCATTTCTACAGGCTTTCCTAAAGCAAAAAAAGAATGAGTTTGAACCTTCTTGAGAGCTTATTTTGTTTACTCATAGCCTTATTTGTAATTAAAAAAAAAAGAACTAAAATTATTAAGATGAAAGTAAGTACTAGTTTCAAATAATAATAACATGGACATTATGTTGCATGAGATTTCCAAGTGTGGAGGGCTTAGCAAGCGTTTTACCTCGGCTTAAATATACAACTACTTCAGCCAACTTACAAGTTGCTAAAAGGAGTCAACATTCAGATAACAATGCTGTTTTAGTAGTTAAAAAGAAATAAGACACAAAAACACAAGTTGTTACAAAACCAAAACGTTAACCTAAAATCTCAAGTCACGGTCTTAAATAACCTTGTCAGATCGAGACTATCATGGATGTCATTCATGGCACCAAATATCTAAGGAAACGGGAAACTACTCCATTATATTTCTCAAGAATACATGGCATTTCAGAAATTAAAAATCTGTAGAGAATCCATGATCAACAATATTCTGAAGGGAGTGGACATTAATAAAAATTTCTTCATTAAGGCCAACCTTAATCTCTAAATTAGGATTAGAGGGTCAAAATAATTTTTTTTTTAAATAACCTTATTTAGGCATAAAACTAAAGTTTAATTATTCACAAGAATTTTAAAAGAAGTTTAAATTTCTTAAAAAAACTACATAAAAATACTACCATGGTAAAAAGAAAAAAAAATCATATAAAGTTAATTCAAAGAAAATATCCAAACAAATTTTATTTATAAAACTTTTTCTTTCTTTAGGTCACAGAAAAATGTGTAAACCTGGATATAGACCTTATTACAGAATTGATAGTTAATTTGAATATTACTATTACTGTAAAAAAAAAGCTTGGGAAATGTCTACTTTAAGAATTCAAGTACCAATTTTGAGAAGAATCATTATCATTCCAAGAGTTCTTGCTTTACACAGTTTTCTTGAGTAACTGTACTCAGATTTGACTAAATCTTAAGTAACACCCAAAAAATAAAGAAAACAATGGCAAATATTTAGTTTAAAGATAAATTATTACAATTTTATAAGCAACTGTACTCAGATTTGAATAAACATTAAGCAGCTCAAACATAAAATTTAAACAAAATGTATTCATGAACTCTACTAGTTACATTAAAATGGCTTCTTTTTTTTTTTTTTTTTGTGTATTTATTAGACCCAAACATAAAAAATTTAAACAACTGGAGTATAAATTTCTGCATAACTTTAAGCAATCTGGGTATTGGTAAAAATCCGAAGTTACTTATTAAGAAAAAAAAAAGTTTAGTTGTTTCTGTGCTTCATTCCAATGCTGCTTTGGGTACACAGTTCTTGAGTATTCCCCCCCACCCCGCTTACAGAATGAGTAGGTAATTTACATATTAATCATTATCACTTTTCTGTTCATTAGTATTAAGAAAACAAAACAAAGCTTCTCTTTCTTTCCAAATTGTACAATTGAAGATGGCTGCAATATTGTAACAACAAAAATAATGAGCTCTGTGATCTTTAACAACTCTTGGAATGACCAATGAAAATATTTTCACTTTGTTTTATTAGGCAATTAATAATTTAATAAATTACTTTTGTCTTTCTTTCAGAATTAAAAAAGCAAATGATTTGCAGCAACGAATAAAAGCAAAACAGAAAAAGAAGCACAAACTGAGGGATCCAAATGATCCAAAATCTGGATCCAGAAGAAACAAGCACCAGTTTGGTAAAAAGAAGAAAAAAAGAATGCAAGTCACAGAATAATATGTAATTTTTTTTATTTTAATAAATTACCCCAGAAATATATTTTCTTGTCTGTTTTTGCTATCAGGAAAGGTGAGTTTTTGTAAATTAAAACAAGACAAACGCAAAATAATAAAAATAAATTTTTTATTCAAATAAGAAAAAAAAAAATTCCAGGATTTATAAAAAATTTGGCATCAAAGTCAATGTTCAACTGAAAGCACATTAAAAAAAATCTTAATGTCTAACTTTGCATTTTTAAGTCTTTGGGGTACTTATTACAATTTAAGAGATCAACTGTTAACCATTTCTGACAATTGTCACATGACAAAATGTACAGCTTAGAGGTCAAGATCTGGTTTGGTTTATTTACATCTACCTTGCTTGCTGTTCACACATATTTTCAAGATACTGAAATGTCAGAACCTTTGCATTTGTATTATAAACTAACAAGTGCTATTTCCAAGCCTGTGTAGACATAGTAGTGTATAATATAATCTGTTTTATGGTGTAAATTGTTTGTTATTTAACTGAGCATGTACTGCAGTGTGTCAGATTGAAACCAAAATGGCCACCAGTTTTATAACAATTTTATTTCCAGTATTTGTTCAAAATGATGCAGCACAGCTGGGCGATAATGCTATAAAAATGCAACAGTGAAAATGTCAAAATATTTTATATTTGTCTGGGGTATTATGATTGTAATTCTTAATTACATTTTTTTTTTTTTTTTTTTTTTTGAATAAAAGATAACATTGGTATATTTCAAAATAACACCATTTTTTTTTTAGTATGAAAGGAGAAATGTTACCATTTTTAGATCATTATATATGTATATTTGAACTTTCTTTTTTGAAGGGCTAGATTGTCATGCATTAATGATGGATAAGATTTTTTACCAGGAGAGGAATTTCAATCATGTGGCAAATCATAAATATAAGAAGGGAGAAAAAAAAATGCCAGATCATAATTTAAAATGGCGGAAGAATGAAGGATGACTAGGACTGAAAAGGAAGGAATTTTAATTTGGGACTTACAGAAACAAAAAACGTTCTTTTTATTATATTAATAGAAGGATGTGACTATTTTATTTATTTAAAACAAAATAACTTTAATCTTTTACATCCATACACATGCACAAAATGTATCTTTAAATACAGGCATCCCTTGATTAGGGCACTAAAATATTTATATACCAAAATTAAATTAGTGCATACATAATACTTAATTCGTGTTGTAAAACATTTTTCAGTTTAGCCAAAGCATTCCCCATCATGAAAATTTAGACACACTCTTCAGTTCATAGTGTCGTCTTCACTTGCTTTCTAAACCTCAGTTAATTTTAGAATTGACATGGTCTAGTAGTATCAACCACTTGTTAACCAATTGGTTGAGGCTTTCAAATGAAGTAAAACTTTTGTAATTAGGACATTATTCGTCCTTCCAATAGATTTAACATAATGTAAAAAGTTACTTTTTATAGAATTATATTTTCTTAATTACCTCCCTTGAAGCAAGAACATTACAACTTTGTATTGAAAAGAACAAAATCCGACTAACTTTCTGGCTTAAATAGTAAAACAAACCGTTTTGTAAATAGGACGTCTGTTACTCGTTCTAACAAAAGATTTTCACTGTTCGAGAAAATAAAAAACGGGGATAGCAACTTAAACACATGTACCCACTTAACGTTTATAGTAATAAAAAAAAAATATCCATAAAATATTTATATGCACACAATGAGGTGATGAAATGTTCTTGGATCCACTTTCTAAAATCTGACTACATATCAGAATACGTTTTGGAATACCTTATTGAGTTGGTAGAAATCTTTTCAACATTCTCTTGTGTATCTACTTAAAAATAAATGTCCATCAAAATTCCTGGCAAAAATAGACATTAAGAACACCAAAAAAAAAAAAAAAAAAAATCCTTGAATTTTCAAACAATTCCAACTTCGGTGAGCAGATCATTGCTCAAAAATCGGTCAAATTTAAATCTTGATAAATCGATAGATTCAAAATTACCGTCAATAATATACTCCATGAGCGCTCGACCAATGGCTGGAGCATGCTGGATGCCATGTCCGCTAAGCCCGTTAGCAAAGTAAAAATTGTGGAAGTAAGGGTGATTTCCGATGACCAGGTTCTGGTCGGCATAGTTATAGTCATAGAAACCTGACCAGGCACTCATCAACTGTAAAAGAGAAGCATAAAAAGAAACATGGAAAGCCTGAAATAGTCAAATGAAATGCGGAAATTTGACTTTGTAACTTAATGATTTAGAAATACAATAATTTTGGAATAAAATACAAACTAATATCAGAAAATAAAATAAACTGATAGTTTAAAAGAGAATCTTGTTTACAAAGAATTAGATTATAATATTGTTGAGAAAAATATCAGGTTTTTAATGGTTTCTTTTCTTTCAGCTATAAGCTTCAAAAATTTAAATTCATCTGTGAATTGAATATTGCGACCACATCTGGTCTGGTTTCTTCTGGTAATTATATTAAGTTAATTAGTAAGTCTGTTCGCTATGCTGTGCGAGACAATTTTTCTCATCAGGACCTATCTTGCACATTTATAAGTCTGCGATTTATATATCTAGAGAATCTTGAGAAAATCCAAAAGAAGAATCTGCAACATTATTGGTCCTGACCTGGCATCTCATCTGCAGTCACCGCTGTAACATAGCTTCCGTGTGCCTTTTCTATAAATATTTTTCATGGTAATTGTTCCGATAATCTTCCCTCTTTGGTACCTTGACTTCATGAATCTAAATGCAGGACTATATTGGCAGATAGGTCTCCTTATTTTATTGTTGAAATTGTTACATGGAATAAAGTTCTATAGTAATAGCTTCTCTTGCATTTCTCTTTCGGATTCTTGTTTTTCTGTTAACAAATATCTTCAAAAATTTAAATGCTGCATCAGTTGTCATATTCTGCCTCTTTGAATCCTGTTTTTTTTTTTTAAACATCCTCTCTCTGCTCAATATTTTCTCAGTTTTTTTTCACACTCAGTAACCCCTGGCATCTTAGTGGCTTTATCACCTTGCTTGGTGTGAAAAGATTAAAAGAAAAAGAACATTCATCATTAGTCCCATGACTAGCTGTGGTAGTAGTGTTGCTATAGAGCTGAGCATCTGACCAGTTCCGTCCACATATCTGGGTTGAAAACCAGAAAGGTATTCATTCTTGTGCAGCATGTCCTAGGTATTATCCGGTTCACACTGCTCCCTGATTTTTGAACAGGAGTTTATCCCATGTTTCTTTTTTAGGACTGTGGTTCTAGTTCTTTCTAAAGTCTGCTATAACTCTATACTTCTAATACATCTTGGTAGCATTATTGCCTTACTTGGAGTGATGTGTCTTTGTAATCTTCTAACAAAAAGGAAAAACTTGAAGGGTCGCCTTGACCATAGACATGTAGTTGTTGATTCCTGGTTGCTGACTTTGTAATCCCACCACCACCACCCAGCCAATGATATTGGAATTCTGTTTGTTTGTTCGTCCATTAGTAAGTTAGTCAGCATGTCTGTTACATCCTGTTATTACCACAGATAAATAATGGACCATTCCATTTTAATTATGAAGAGAAAAGATATTAGAGATGCAATTAGGTTTTAGTGAGAAAAAGAAAGCACAATAGAAAGGAAGATAGAGGAGACAATAATGCTTTCATGTATTTACTGTCTGCTTCAGTGAAGTAGAAAACATTTTCAGTTTTAAATGTTTTTATTTGTACCCTCTTACTTCTTTAATGACCTGCATTCATATTTATGATTCTTACTGCAATATTTTGTTAAAGTTAAGTTCAAATATTTAACAATGCAATAGGAGAATTTCCACGGGTATTTTATAGTTGTAGAACTCACAAGGAGTGTATTCAATCATTAACTTAAGTATTAAGAATCATCAGAAAATTCAAATAGAAAAATAAAACATTAAATAGATATAAGTATAAGTAGATATAAATCAGATGAAGCTAGCTCAACTTTTCATATCAGACATGGGAAACACAATTTGGGAATCGTGACAAATATGTGAAACAAAGAAGTAATTTGCAAAACTCCAAAAAAAAAAAAAAAAATACTCAGCAGACGCTAGAGCAGGTTGATTGTGGAACTGTGGTATTGCACGCAATTTGAAAGTTTGGGATTAACATAATAAATAACAACACAAAATATCTTTTTTCAAATTGTTGCCATTCTTTGAGGAAACCAGTTTCAAGATTAAGTTTAGTTTCAAAACTGAAACATTGGAATTTTATTCTGGTGATCAGTGAAAGCCTTATAGAACAGCCTTATAATATTTATAATTAAAATATATGCAATTAGTTGGTTTGAAATTAAAAAAGGATAACATATTCCATAACCAACAACTGTATATCTTTAACATGATCCAGAAAATAAAGCAATAGTTCACTAAAATACAAAATATGTTAAAAACATTTACAGCACAATGCTTTCACCTTGTCAGATAAATTGGAGGTGATGAAAGAGGCAATAAAAATTGTCCATTAGATAAGTAAATATTTATTCATACTAGTTATGTCAATTTACAAAACTAATTTAGCTTATTAGCCTTTTTAGTAATATTTAACAATTTTTACAGTTTTCACTTATCAAATACAGTAAAAAAAATTACATATTCTGCTTGTGACACTGATGCCATAAAGTGATTAATATTTGGTATAAGCTGAAAGAATGACGAAGTGGTTAAATATGGAGTATAAGCTGGAAGATAGTGAGAGAGTGGAAGATGTTTTCCCTGCTGATGGGAAGTGAAAGACGCCATCTGGGATGTAGTGAAACGAATTTAGAAATAATTTTATCTCTTCTTGGAAGGTTAAATGAACTTTTCTTAAGGGTGGAATATACGATAAGATGGAAGAGTGTGGTCTGGTTTGTATTTTCACTGGACAGAGATGAGACCGAGGAAATGAAAAGGAACCAGAGAATTAAAATTGATGGCTAGAATAAAAACTCTGCCCTTTCACCTATGTGCTTTAAAAATTAGATTCGTCACAATGACAGTTGTGCTTGCCCTGGGAATTAGGCTGAGGTTGAATGTTAAAAGGGTAAGAGAAAGAAGGGGAATTCAGCACCACCTGTATGATAGTATGAGATGTAAAGTAAAGCAAGTTGGAGTTAAGGAGGAGAAGCGATATCTGTGACTACTCCCAAGGAAGGTGGATAATTCTCTAAATTTGGAAAGTTGATTAAGAGTGCAGAAACAGAGAACAAAGAACTCTTGTTGGGATTAATGTGAAAATTGTGGAATCACCAAATCCTCAAAAACTGTTGACCCCATGCCGGTTTCGGTCATATAAGCAGATAGCTTTGAGGACTTGCGCTGTGAATTCCCCAGCATCAGTGCCTCTGGAATCCATGTCAGCTGCCTCTGATATCCTGACTCTGAAGAACTTTGAAGCCAGCTCCTCCAGAACTTTTGATAAGGCCTAGTGTCACTATAGAGATTCATGCGAGAATGGTTAATTTTTATTGTACCAAGTACTACATAAACCAATTGAAAATTAACCCAATGATTCTTTCATTTGTATTTATGTTTGTGAAGATATTTCTTCCCTTAATTCTTGTGAAGATAATTCTTCCCACTATTTAATTGTTCGGACTATCACCCTCATCTTTGTTGCCATATTTATCACAACGTTTTGGCTGTTGTACACTCCGGCCTTCTTCAGGTGGTTGGAATGTCAAACTGAATTCTTTATTTCCAGTGACAGAACCCAAAGAGTGTGAGTTCAATTCCTGATTAAGGCGGTGGAGAACTTGGAGAGGGGAATTAACAGGAGATAACTGACATCCATTAGACATAGCACATGGAAGTAGAACAGTCGACCCCAGTGAGTGAAATAAAGGGTTCAGTTTGACATTCCAACCACCTGAAGAAGGCCGGAGTGTAGAACGGCTGAAATGTTATGATGAATATGGCAACAAAGATGAGGATGATAGTCTGAACAATGTAAATAGTGTACATAATACCTAATCTCAGAAATATAGACAGATGTCATACAATATTACCATATGTACCTCTTTTCGTGGACTTGCTAAATCAGTGAATCTCCGTTGCTTATGTTCCCACCTTTGTTCCTGTATCATGTACATCATTTTTCAATCCGTTTTTTTATTACTCCGTCTTCCCAGAATTCTTTTCCAATGTTGGTACATTTTAAAAAAAAAAAAACTTAATCACCAGGTTTAAAATATTTATGTTATTTTGGTTCCTTGATGTTCTCACCTTCCGTTGTGGTAGTAATTTGTTAAATATGGACTTAATCTTCCTGGTAGTAATTTGTTAAATATGGACTTAATCTTCAGTTCTGCTGTTGACATTCTAGACACGGTTTTTGCGTTATTCTGAAAATGCTCAGAAATTGCTGTAACATTACTTCATTTACCTCCTCTCCCTTTGAATTTTTTAGTGTCCTTTTAAAAGTATCGACAAAACATTCAGCTCCCTGTTACTTCTTGGGTGATAAGGAGGCACTATAATGTGTTCTATTGCTAATGATTTACAGAAACCCTCAAATTCACTAGATGTGAATTGTGTGCCTTGTCTGTAACGATAATGTCAGGTACCCCGAATCTTGCAAAAATCTTGTGTAAGAAAGTTATAGTGAACGTGGCACTCAGCTTTCTACATTTTAATATTTTTGGCCGTTTAGTGTAACTATCTACCACATCTAAATAGTATGCTCCATTTAATGGACCTGTGAAATTCATGTGTATTCTGGATCATGGAATATCAGTTTTTGGCCAAGGTTAAAATTTAATGGCGCCAAAGCACAACCTCTGCATGATTTTACTAAATTTTCAATGTCCTGGTCCATTTTCGGCCAATACGTATAACACCACATTAAGGATTTCATCTTTGAAATTCCTGGATGTCATATGTGAAACTCTTTTAACATTTTTGCAATGATGCTGGTATCACAGTTCTTTTTATCTACATAAGTAGATTGTCATAGATTGAAAATGAATTGCTTCCAGTAATATTTTTATTTTTTCTTTAAATCTCAGTTGTTTCTTCCTTTTCATTATGAAGTCATCATTTTCCACTTTAACTCTTATTTCCTTTAATGCTATAGGCAGTTCTTTTGCTGTATTATATATAGACATATATATATATATATATATACACACATACACATTCTGAATTTCATTTTCAG